AAAACACACACACAAAAAAAGAAAAGAAATGAACTGCAATTGGCGTTGATTGAAGCACGTCCACAGTTTTAAATGTTCGCTTCAATATTTTCTGTTGACTATTTTATGTCTTTGGGTGCGAAGCCGTTGTATTGTAGTCATTTCGTCATTTCTTTTAATTACAAACTGTTAAAGAGTGGAAGGATTCTTTTTTTCCTCTCTCTCTCTCTCAGTGGTGCTCAGCAAAAAAAGGGTTCAAAGACGTTGTTGGTTGAAGCGAATGTCTCGCATTGTGTGTTTTGCGTTTAAATGGGCTGTTAATTCAATGCCAACAAATTCGATTGCGTGGGGCACAAAGTTACCAATGATGATTGTATGAGCGGCGAAAATGAGAAAGTGTAAATAGCATTGAGTATGCATTAGCATTTAAATGCCGATTTATTTCTTTAGTGTAACAATTTTCCTCTATTGTCACAACCATTTGCCGCTTTGTGGAAACAAAGTAAGACAAAATCCGGTAATAAAAGGTGTAAATGCACCAAGAAAACTCATTTAAGCTGAAAGAGCTGAACCAAACTGCAAATTGATTTTAAATTAACATACAAAAAAGAAATTGTGCACACTCACTTATTGGTCGATTGAAAATGGTTTTGAAAAACAATGAGTGTAAAACGGATTTTGACAAATCCTAATTAGTGATGGTGAGAGAAAGAATACGCCAAAGTAACGGCACCAAATTACTCAAATATTCATTGTCATAAATTATTCACAATATTTGTCAGTCATTCAAGAGCGGAATTTCCATTTGGCGCAATATTATGATTATTTGTCATTTCGTTGTTTCAATGATTCTTTATTGTTTGCACCTAATTCGTCTTGAAAATGTACGCAAAACACATGTGCGTAATTTTATTCGCTTGAAATTGTATCGAACCGCCACACCACATGACAAAAACCACTGGTATACGCAAAGCCAAACATTTTAAATAGATGAAACTCGCGAAAAGTGTAAAATAAATGCTCATGATGTTGGTGTTGGTGTGTGCGCGACAAAGAAAATTCACTTTCTCGCACCCGGAACAATAATTGAATATGCTGCTGTCGTATTGCGTAAAACAAAACGAGGAATTGTATTAAAAATGTTTGGCTGGTGTGTATCATTTCGGTATAGCATTTGGTGGCATTAACCTTCATGAGATGAGAAATGAATTGCAAACGGCTGTGTGAAAATACACAACGACTGTACACAATTCACCGAGAAACGGGTTAAATACTCTTTAACATTGCTTAATGCGTTCCTATTTAAATAGTCGACAGAGAATATAGCGCACAGAATGACAATCAAGATCCGGGCAGGAATTAGGGAAAATTTTCACGAGCGCGAGCTAAAGCGCGAACATGTCATTTATGCGCAACATTTAAATTTTGTAACAGCTTATGTTAGGGTGGTGTGTGTGTGCACCAGCATCAGCAACTACGATGGTATCAAAACTGAAATAAGAATTTTGAGTAAAAAACAACACTTTTGGCCGATGTCATTTGGCAATATATTTTCAGATGATTTTAACCGTGCATATTCGCGCTATGTAAATGCGGTTTGAACGATATACATTTGAATTCGGTTTTCAAGACACATGAAAAAAAATATTTGGTCGCATTGCATGGTCGAAGTATTTAAACAAAAGGAAAAAACTCACGCCTCGTTAGCTCGCATTCGCGATGCCTATCATTCTTCATAGTTGAGAAAAAGGGGTAAAAGACATTAAAATTTATCGCCGAAATAACAATGGCAACTTTTCAATGAGAATGATAAAAAGCACATCATTTGTCTGTTATAATCACTTTGCAGTACCGCGAACCCACTCAACCCACTCAACCAATTTTTCTGCCTGTTTGCATCTTCAGCCCATCGTTTTGTGTGTCAACGATGAACAACAAAACCAAGTCAAAATTCACTTAAAATTTCAACACATTTCTTGCCATTCGTTAATACCATTTATGCATTATCATTTATTTTATACGCATTATAGATTGGAGATGATTATGGCTTTATATCGTAGTTTAACGAATTGAAATGATGAATTCGTCTTGTGTGTGTACGCATTCGTCTGTCTGCTAAAGAATCTTGACTGACAACGATAATCACAAACACTTTTGCCATTTCACACAGTCAACTCTTTAAATTCAATGTGTGTTATTCTTGTGTGTGAGTGTCTCTGTCCTTCTCTCAATGGAACATGAAATCCGCTCGCTTGAGTTCTCGTGTGCTCTAGCATAAATGAAGCAATGTAATACATTAGATAAATAGCCGAATTAAATATATAACATAGAATATTCGTGCCTTCATGTGACTGAGTCTATGCTGGGTGTTAAACAAACATTTACACAGCCGAATGAGCATTTCGTAAGTTGTATTCGCAATTCTAGCGAATATTTCCACACTTTGTTCGACATTTTGTAACAATTATATTTGTCGCAATTCACACAATATAGTGTGCCATTTGTGCGATGCAATTCGTGAATGTGAAATGACATACACTGCCTTTCACAAATTCCCAAAAAAAGAAAAGAATGAGAATTTTAATTCCTGGATTGCATTTTGTGGTAATCTCGTCACTGGTGAAATGAGAAACAATAAAGAAATAAAAACTTTCAACTAATATACACAATGAATGTATGTGTGGTATAGTGCATTTCTTTGCACACAAATACATACATATGGTCAGAATGGCGTATTATCGTTCTTGTTCAAATGTACGTTTGTGCATGTAATGCGGCAATGCTTTGATCCTTCGTTTAATTATAATCTGAAAAGGTAATCTCATTTAAATAAAACTATTTGCACAAAACGTTCGACAAACAAGCCGTTCAATTTGAAACACCTACATGGCACAAAAACCGAAAAACAAATAAGAACATTGCTCAAGCAAAATCTACACCATTTGTACATAGTACATTTGGAGTGCAAAAAGGAACAGGGAGACGGAGAGTGAGATGGCTAATGAGATTGCTCTGTGTAGCACATTTGTAACGCGAAAACCTTTTGTCATTTCAAATGAATGCGGTTTGTTTTTGAGAATATGTTTTCACTCCCACTTTGTAACATTTTGAAATATTTGCTTCTTTATTACGTACATAAAATGCCAGCATTCTCCATAGCGGGTCATTGCTATTCGAAAAACTTATTTTGCTTCGTTCTTCAATTTTAGAATATGTGCGTTTTACAATTTTGGGATATTTTCATTTTGAAGAAACGAGCAAAAGCAAATACTGTGCGCTGTTTTGCGGTTCATTTAAGAAATTAGGCCATTTGTAAGCAGTCACGATATACATGCAAAGTTATTTTTTTGAAGAGAATGGATTAAAAGTTTGCAATTTCTATACCGTATTTAATGAGTTTGGTTAAACTGATGGATGATATTTGTCATTTTTTGGAACATTTTCGCGCGAACAAATGGAACTTGAAAAATCACTTTTTGCGCTTTAAATTGTTTTCGGTACGGTTTCTTTAGAATTCACAAACAAACGCTTCCAATTTGAAATCTATCGTCTGATTTTTTGTAAAATCTCTAAAAATAAAATGTTCTCAAATTCAATAAATAATGTGATAATATCGATTACGCATTTAAATAACAAGTATCAATGTCAAAAGAAATCTTTACCAAATACGTAGTTTCAATTGCATAAAAATAGAAACGATGAAAGAAGCAGCGAATGGTCATTGATTGAAAATGTACACGGTCGATGAGATGTAATGAATTCTTGAAGTGAAAGGCGTTTTGATGCATGTTCGTGTGAGAAGCCATATATGGCACAATATCGTGGCTTGTTTTCACCTCCCACTAAAAGCGTTGTGTGCAACTCAAAATCGATGCCATTCGCAATGGATGTACCATGTACAGTGGAAGAAGCTTGAGAGGAATGTATATATATATATATATAGTAGCAAGAGAATATACGAGTGTGCGATGCTATCATCGTCAAGTGAAAAGAAGAAAGAAATTTCCAAGTTCGACTTGGTGAAAGGTGAAACAGTGAGAGAGATATGTTTGACTTTTATCCAACTAGTTGGATACTTGAGCGCGCCGTTTTGAACGCAAAGGAGTTTTGTGTGTACTCTGCCGCACCAAACTAAACTGAACCGAAACAAAGGAAGAGAAAGAGAGACAGAAAGTGGGAGAGAAAATACATAAGTTTATTTATATGCATGCGGTCCGGGTAAGGAAACCGTGGTAGCGTGATATAAGGTTAGCCACTAGTAGTACTAGGTAAACCCGAATTTGAACACAAATGCTACCAATAGATGTGTGTGTGCGTGTGTGTGTATGTACTCTCGTTAAAAATCATTGCAAATAATATGGTCGTATACACTTGGAGGACAAAAAAGTGCCCGATTTTCAGTGATTATGATGATGGTGGGGAAAAAAGCTGTTTTATTGGTGCGCCACAAACAAGCTTTTTACATGTTCATTTCTTTTATTTTGTTTTTTTTTTAGAACCATCATCTCAACCAAAGCGTCATAAGTTGCATTTCATTGGGTTTTCGTTTGAAACTTAACTTAGAATTAATCATAATATTATGGATGAGTGAAAACCACCCAGCATGCTATACTTTTTCCAAAAAAAACTGAAAAATTGTTAGAGAAATCTCGAAAAAAATAGTTCTTTGAAGTGTTTTCGATTGGAGAAACGAAGTCTGATTCACTTGAATCTTTGATTTATTACAAAATAATTACTGAATTAATCAAAACCAATAATAAAGCAAGCACAAATGTTGCGCTCGTTTCATGTAAAATATGCATTGCTGTTACATGTACACGTACTGGATGACTAGCTATGAAAATTAATATCTAAATCCATTGATGTGTATTAAATTGACATCGAAATAATTGAAAATAGTGAGCATTATAGTTAGTTTATAAATGTGTGTTTTTCACCAAATGAAATACATTTCAATCAATTTTATTTTACGACATGAAATACCGAAATTTATACATTTTATTTATTTTCATTTTATGCAGGTTTTCATCATTTCGGCATACCAGCGCATTTGTCAGCTGGTCATGAATGGCGTACATTAGCGAATCGTCCTGGTTTTCCGCATGTACCATTTTTCCATCCTCAGCCAGCATCACATTTTCCGCCGCATATGCTTCATTTGGATCAAAATCGAAGTGTTTTGGGACTACCAAATCGTATGTCACTCTCTCGAAAAAGTGTCCGTCTATGATTTTATAATAACTAATTCAATCATCATGTTTTCTCAATTTATAGGTACAACAACGCCCTTAACGCAACTGAACAATCAAAATACCGCATCAAATAACAATAACAATAATCCACATAGTACAACAAGCCCAAATTCATCTCCTGCAAATGTATCACTAACAAATTCATCACAATTGACGCCGCCGCACACCGATGAAAATGACAATTTGAACGACGATCGATTTGAAAATGACAACATATCGGTTACTGGTTCACCGACACAAGCCAATTCAACTGAAGACGATGAAAGACGTAGCCCGTCTCCATTTCAATCGGCCACATTACCACAAACTCAAACCGAATCGCCTGGAAATGGTGGTGCATTCACATCGCTCATCCATCGAAACGCAAAGAAAGGTGACTTCCTTTCAAATTTCCAAACGCATTTACATCAAAGACCGACAGTAGCAACAACAACCGCTGCTACGTCTGCTGCTCATCCATTACATCAACAATTACCACAACAAAATCATGCACTGAATCATGCATTGGCCGCCCAATTATTTTTGCAATCACCTTTGATTCCACAACCAAGTCAATGGCTGTATTCACAGTTATACGGTGGAAATTACAACGAACTTCCTTGGTTACGAACATCGCTTCAATCAAACGGCAATGGTTTTCGATTGAACAGCGGTATAAATAACAATGACACAATTTTGGCACAATCGAATTCACTATGCATCGAATCAAATAATGAACATTCGTTTGGCACAAAACGAAGCATCACATTAATTTCACATTTGGACGAGGAAAAAGAAACGAGCGCATCGCCTCCGGTAACATCAACAAAACGCACACCTAGCCCACATGAGGACGATATTGAAATTGTTAGCAATACCAGTTCGGCCAAAACGAAAAGTGATTCGTTAAAATGTCGAACAACAAAACATGTCGACGTCTGGCGACCATATTAACACAACAATCGATGGACAACGACAGTTAATTCAATTTCAGGCCCATTGTAAATAATTTCCAAAACACAATCGATTGGCAGATCTTTTCGTTTGTTTGAATTGCCAATCTTAAGATTATATATTGTATTTAATACAAAACTTTAATAATAATAGTAATAATGTGTAGAAAATGAATTGGAAGAAACTCTTTAAAGAAAATTCACCCTTATATTTCATTTTAATGTATTTAAATCAATGACACAGGATGTCTCAATAAAGGAACACCATGAATTGCATGTTTTCATTCGCATCATACTGCAAGTCACGCACTTGTTTAGAAAAATACTACCATGATTTACGGTTTACATATCGAATTTAATCAGATCGGGCGAAGAAATGAAAATCAAAACGGAAAATGTAGTCAAGTTGAAATTTTTCTCAAGCCCCTAAATAGCATCCATCCAATTAAAATGTATCAAGCCCAACTGAACAGGAGCAACCACCATATAATTTCGCGCATAGTTTCCGAAGTTGGCGATCCAACGTGCGGGTTCATTTCAAAATTTTACGAAAAATCCAAAGGGTAATTTTGAAGATTTTTTCAAAATGTTAAGGATTAATTCGATTAATATCTAGTGCAAACTCAGTTTCTGGGCAAAAGTGAAGATCCAAAAGAAATCTTTACTTTCAAATTTACGAAAAAAATGTTTCCCAATATGCAAAAAGGAAATTTCAAATCCACTCTTGGGGTTGAAATAATCCAACCCCCTGGATCTCTGATCAAAAGCTCCGATTTCACTTACAAAATGAAAATTCAACAAACATACATTACGTTTATAACAAAAAAAAAAAAATACTTTTCTGTACATAAAACGACACATATGATTATACGTAAATAATAAATAAAAATGCATATAATAGAATACCTATACATTAACTATAGATATTTAGTAGAATGTAATCCGTAATTTCAGCGCATTAAAACACACAGACATTACTTAAATTAAATATATTTGACAGAAATTAAATGAAAATGGAAATGCAATGTATACACAGTTGAACACAAAAAAACATATATCCGAACCAAACTGGACTGTATACCAAAAATGCATTCATATTAATTTAAAACAAAAAATAAAACGTTTTTTTTCTCGAGAAAATCACACATTGGCTAACATTTAATTGAAAAACGAAAACGAACAAACGAATGCGATAAAGCAAACAACAACATCAACATCAACAGAAAATTATAAATAAAATGTTTCATTTGTGATTTGTAGTTTTGTCGTATATGTATGTCGTGAACAATAAATATTTTGGTTGTTTCCAATTGAAAAATTTGTCCATTAGTCTATTTAAATAATTGAGTATGCTTTACCCTTGCCCTTTGTGTGTGTGTGTGTCTCTATGTAATGGAACATGTTTAGCTTAAATATTTGACCGGCTTTTTAATCACATTTTCAAATCAAAATTGCAAACCTGCTGTGCTGAACGGTGTTTTTTCGCATTCAATTCTTTCCTTTTTCATTTATTTCGTCAGCGCACACACAAGGAACACTGTGAAATCGCATCAATATCGAATGCAAACGAGAGGTAAATTAAATAAATCATTATAAACATCGAAACACATCTGTTTATGTTTAATGACACGAACAATGGCCAACGGGCCATTAGCTTCGGCCAATCTAATCAATACAGATGCAGTCCCATTGATTAAAACGTCATCTACACTACGTCATGGGCAAAATTGCAAAAATTGATTCAATTTTATTTGCAAATGTATAATTAATTTTCACGGAAAAACCAAACCACTTTTTGCCACTTTCGCAATGTGTGTTTGGGGATTTTTTTTCCACTGAAAATTCGAAATATCTTTGTTTTAGGCATATGTGGCTGTGCTGCGGTTATGAGAAACCAAAAATACATTTAGAACTATTGGTATTGAAAGAATTTTGGAGGGAAAAATTAAACGAAATTTATGCGGAAGTAAAATTGAATTCACGCGGATTACAGGCTGACATTTGAATTTCAATCAAATTGTTTTAAAATTTTAGTAATGGTCATTTCGAAATAAAATTGTATTCGTGAAATAAAATGAATAAATATTTAAACATCAAACAGACTGTCAAACTGTATCTCACAAATCCAAATGTAACTAATTTCAGTTTGAAATTTGCATTAAATGTGGAAATGAAACAGCATCGGATAAACTAATGTGCAAAAATAGTTTCGAAACGAATTTGCTGCCAAAAACCGCAGGTCCAACAAGGCTTTTAAAAAAAATTGCTAATTATTCAACGGTCAATTTCAATTGACATTCTTTTACATATTGAATGAGAACATCGTCCAAAACGCTTTCGAGTGTATTCCATGTTTTCAATGATGATCATTCAATGGAAAATTTGGTTTAAAGTGTTCGAAACAGCTAATACTAGAAAATCTTTGAAAGTCTCAACACTTTGCCTTCTCTTAAATAACATTTAAATAATAATAATAAAAAAAATACCATCGAACTTACGACATTTTTCTGTGTACAAATAAATGGCTTTTCCACTGTTGGAAATACGACCAAAAAGAGCTGATTATTTTCCATTTGTACATTTTTTTCTCGAATTGTGTTTCTCCCTCTCTTTCTTACACTTTGTTCATTTTCATCCCGTTCATCACTATTTGACTTCGGTCGTTGGTTGTTCATTTGCATGTTTGTCAGAACCGAAAAAAAGGATCGAATTGCATTTTAATGCCAAAGGGTTACGATTTCCATACGCATCATCGAAGTTCTTTTTTCTCTCCATTCCCTTGTCATCAGATATTTAGATCAAAGAAAGAAGATAAAAATGGGCATACATACGAATGGAATTGAAATGAATCTCTTGGTTACTTACCAAATTGTAATCCGTATTCGACGAATAAAAAAATAGTAGAGCCAAAAACAAATAATAACAATAAAAGAGGTAACGGTCTTAAGAGAGTGAGAGCGTGCTCGATTTTAAGAAATTCACTTAAAATCGTGAATGTAATCCGAATTAACAATTCAAAATGCGTATCTCTAACCCCTTTTTTTCTCCATTTTTTTTGGGAAAGTTGAAAAAGTAGCAAATAAATAAAGGATAACACTCAACGACAGATTTAAATAAATTATACCAAGGAATTTGGTTGGATTGTATTTGCTGCGGGGATAAATGTCGCATGCCAGGATTTTACATTTATTTGTCCCATTGAAAATGGTCATAAGCGAAAAAAAGTTGTCGATATGCATGACATTTTTTTGTTCTGTTGGTGATGCTGGTGATTCAATGGACACATTTACACAGCATCTTACAGATCTAATTCATTTAAAATCAAATACGACAAAACATTCACACAAAAAACACACCGTCCGTTTTTCTTCACCAAATTAAACATCACAACCAAACGAATCACTTCGTCTCCGGTCGTTTTTTTCTCAAACTAATTTTAATTTGGAATTTTTGGGTCTTCGTACGCGTACGCATTTTTTGTGATTTGGTGTCGTCGGACGGTTTCTTTTATTCAATATTACATTTTATTTGTCGCTTTTTCGTAATGTGTGTGTGTGAGTGTCGAGTCGCAATCAGCATTTGTATTTATCATCGAGTACGCGCTCGATTGGTTTATTGTGCGCCCAACAAATACGAATCTTCTTTTGGTTTCCGTTGATTTGTTTATTTACCGCGTTTTTTCTGCTTTAACTGCTCAACCAGTACCTCTTCACTCTCGAACAGGGTTTGTGTCGACCGATTTTTTTCCTTCCTTTCTCCTTCTTTCGCAGACATCGTCCGTTTTTTTCCTCGCACTGCTTTCGTTGCTATCGATGGATTTTGGCAAGAACTAAAATCCAAACAGCAAAAACAAATCACCCTCGGCTCGGATTCGTTTATGTGCTTTTGCCACGCGCATTTTTTTTAACAACATCGGCCAAGCATAAAATTCGCTATTTATTTATTTAATAAGACCAATATGTTTCCATTTTAGGAATTTATTGATTTACTAATAGATCAGTGCAAACAAAGTTGAATCGAGAGAGAGAAAGAGAGAGTGGTGCGGCTCCACAAACTTCTGGAGCGAATTCAAAAGTGGATAGAAGACGGTACATCTTCTTCCAAGTGAACAAACTGCAGTAAAAAGACAACAAGAGAAAACAACTGTCGTTAAATTCAAACGATAAAGTTTTTTTTCTTTCTCCGTCGTCGTTGCTATCTTTTGATTTTCGTCGGGAAAATTGTACACTTGAATTGCCGCACAATTCAAAATTGTCTCCGCATACATTGGCCAAACGAGATTAAAATCTATCAACGATGAATAATTCGGTTGGCATACAAAGTACGTATATTTTTGAAGAGTGCAGAGCGAATCGATATCTTGTGAAAAGCGTTTCTCTTATAAATGCGATTCAAAAGTCATTCAAATTGCAAATGATGTGAAAGATTTACAACATTTTCGCAATGATAAAGCACTTGTGAATTGATTTAAAATGCAATAAAAAGGTTAAAACATATAAAACACTTTTAATCGAGCAGAATTCTATGCACTATTTACATTTTTTTTGTAAGATGTCGCGCGAAACAAAATTATGTTTCGTGCCACAAGTAGACGAGTGAAAAAGTTCACGCTCAATTGGAAGTCGGTCAAAAAACCAAAAGAAACGCCATGCACTTTATTTTAACACAATAACCAAACAGCTGCGATTTTCATCCATTTTGATATTATTTTTCTATTTTAATTATTTGGACGAATTTGTAAGAAATATATGTTATCGGTGGGCTCCAGAATCGAAAAAATTGGTTTCAACTTGATTGCTGATACCTTGCTTGAGTTATGTGTGTCACAAACAAACCTTGACGAGCAATCAAAACCATAAAAATTCAAAAAATAGGTTTGAATTGTTCAATTTATTACTTTTGTTCATAAGTAATTCAATTTAAACGAGAAAATCAGTAAGCGTCAGTAAGTTATCTCATCTTAATTGAAACTATCAAAATTGTGATTTTTTGTCACCGAATGTATAATCAATATAAAAAAATGTTCAATGAACATTGTATCAAAAAGTCGCAGTGATAACATTGTTGCCGTGGGATTTCTGATTATCGACATTACGATCAATTGTCAACCGCGAATGCGATGGTTGAAAATTAAAAAAATCCATCAAAACTCCGCATTTTTTCGATCTCTTTTCGTTTGACATACCGAATGGAACCAAAAACATTGGCATAAAGTCGTTTGGCTTGCAGTGGTGTCACGCACAAAAAATGCCATCTACAAATATAAATGCTGGCGACTCTTTTTATTTTTATGATTACATATTCTATCAATTTCAATCAATAAATTAATTAAAATAGCACTTTCCAATTGGCGAAACAGTCCGATGTCAAATGAAACAAAAATAAAAATGAGTTCGAGGTTTTATGATGGGTCGTGGGCAAACATAAAAAAAGTGTTCGCGAATTTTTGCTAAAAAATAAGCTCTTTACACAAATATTTCGATGATTTTGGTTTTTGGCGAGAGTTGCCACACTATTTTTTTCCTCGTCATTTGTATGCATATCACACAACACACATGCATACATGCCATTTCAAAGTTTGTACATTTTTTATCGCTTTTGCATTAAATATTGATTTGCATTCGATGAACGCGGTTTAAGCTTTTTATTTATCTTTTTTTTTTTAAACGACAAATAAAAGTGCTTATGTGTATGCTTTTACAAAATAATGCCAATAAAAAAGCAACCCATTAAAATTCGTAATTCGTGTGGTAAAAACCTTTCACATTCAACATAAAAAAACACTTTGCACACAATTTCATTGCAAAACGCATTGCAAGTGATATGGAGAGAACAAGCGCATTTCCGATTTTCGTTTGATTAAGAACTGCGGTCAACATTTAATTTCCATCTTAATGCAATTGTCGAACGGATGAATCGCATCATTTCATTTTGTTTTTGAATGTGGAAAATTCGAGACTTTGTATGGACATCCAGTTGACAGGATATTGTGAGAATGTAGCACATTTCTCAATGGGAATGCTCGCGGAAGATAAAAGAGATTAATTTAAGTTCAAAACCCAATATTCGAGTCAAGTGTCGTCATTTGTTCAGAATTTGATTCAAAATTTCGGTCATAATTCAAAATTAAATTTGTTTCTAGGAAAAATCTGGGAAATATATTGAGCATTCCATA